TGAGGAGACTGGAGGGACTGACGATTGTCAGGCTGGGTAGCATGTGCACCGGGGATTCACACCGCAATGTACCCCTGGCGTCTAGCAGGGGCCGGTGAGAGGGCCAGCTCCCGGGGCTCTCTACAACAAGTCCCCTTGACAAAGACACCGTCGTCCCCTCCCTCCCCAACCTGCGCGCTGGAGTGCCGCCAGCGTGAGCAGGTGCTCGTGGCCGTAGGTGTTGAGGAAATCGCGACGCAGGCCGTCGTACGCCTTGCGAGGGATGCCGCCGTGCACCGCGCAGTAGAGGCAGAGCAGGCGCAGCACGGCAGCCGCTCCCTCGCCGGTGTACATGAGGTCCTGTGTGTGTGGAAGGGTGTGGTGCATGCTGGTGAAGGGGAGGCAGCGCCTGGGTGCGCCCTGGACTGGTAACACTCCTGGAACAAGTGTCTAGCTGTGCGAGCCAGAATGCATGGTGTGCAGGGCAGCCCACCCCCGCCATGACGGCCCAGGGTCCGGCGCTTGCTCTTGCAGTGACCAAGGTTTGCCTTCCCAGTCACCAGATCACACATGCCCAGGACCCTGCAGATGCCCCAACACTACAGCACGCCCCACCAGGATGGCTGGCAGCTCGTCGCCGCCGTCCAGGAGCCCCGCCTCGACCTTCTGCCGGGCGGCAAAGCCAGGGGACGCCAGGCTGGCCGCCAGCTGCTCGATCAGGCTGGTGTGCAGCGGGATGCGGACAAACTTGTCGCGAAGCTCTGCAGAGATGGGTTGGATCGCGGGTTCAGGCTCTCGGACAGCTGAAAGGTAGGTGCCTGAGGTGCTTGGGTGGACAGACTAAGGCCTGCTGCCCTGCATGGTGGCTGCCTGGCCGTACAGCTGTACATCTCTGAGCTTGACGCACTCGTCGCGCCATGCACGACAAGCAGTCACCACCGACCTACCGGAAACAAATCCTCTCAGCGCGGAGATGTCGGCGCTGTGGATTCCCTGGTCCCGGAACTGCTGGATGGTCCTGGCAAGGGTAAGGAGATGGGGACAGGCTTGGAGCTGGTACAGGTTGTTCAAGGGTTGTGCAGGCCTGACACCCCCGCAGCAGCACTCAACAGGCCCTCAAACCTCTGGACTCCATCCATGGTGCCCTACATGGAACCATGACCCCCTTCGCAGTCCACACCGGAGCGTCTCGTTGATCCAGCGACGAGCATCCATGTAAAACTTGTCCCTCGTCTCCACAAAGACTGCGTCGCTGGAGTTGAGGCCATGCACCTTGCGCCCACCTGCATGCACGAGAATGCATGAGCTTCGTGGAGGGAGTGAGCCGCGCCGCGCGGATGCAGTGCACGCCTCAGCTCAGAGCATGCAGCCCGCCTCCCGCATTGGAAAGAGGTGCAGCTTTGCCGCCTGGCACTTCCTGGGGAGTACACTGTGTCGCTGCCCAGCATGGCATGGAGGTGTAAAAGCGAGACAGCCCAGCAGTAACAGCATTGTCTCCGCCCTGTCCCCCTTCCCAATCTCCAGACCGGCCACATCGGCCTCGCCCACCTTCCGATTCGAGGACGACCTGGCCACAGCGGATGCCCATGGTCTCCTCCAGCAGGCCCTCATACGTGAGCTGGGTGCAGGCGGGGGAGACGATATCCACCGACCGATCCATCAGGATCATGCCGTCTATGCCAGACTGGCCTGTGAGGGGCGGTGTCGGAATGATGCTCCACTCTCGCCATGCACAGGGCTGGTTCCCAGGGTTCTCACGAGACGACTGGCTGCAGGAGAAGTTTGGCACCAGGGGGCCTGGTGGCACGCTCCTGGGCCCGCACATGCCTGGCAAAGGGCATTCCAGATCCCAAGTCCCAGAACTGGTCTGCCCCTGACAGCACATATCTCAAATAACCCACCTCCTGACCGCCGGCACTCTTGTCGTCCCACACACTCTGAAATACAGGGCTATCTCCCACCCCCACCAATCCATCCTTACCTACAGCGGGTCCCTCGGAGCCCTGCTCCCGCCGCATGCGCCCCAGCAGCCCCGCCACCTCCACCGCAGCCGTGCCCTTGGCCTTGATTCGGGCGACGGCGCCGAATCGCTGCTGTAGGGAGGAAAGGGCGGAGGCCAGCTCGTGCAGGGAGCTGGGGTCGCCGTCTGCGGTCCACTCCTGGGGCTTGGGAAGGGGTTGGGGGAGGTTGAGGGCAAGGCCTCGGGGGAAGCAGCATGCACAGTCCTCAGTGGCAGGGCACCCCGGAAAATGAGCGTGCGCCGCAGCCAGTGGCAGCCGGTGGGGAGGAAGGTCGGCCCCCTCCCAAAACTCACCCGGAAGACGTCTGGCAGCTCCAGGGAGATCAGGTCCTCATCCAGCGGGATCCAGGAGAGCGGCGTGGGGAGCAGGGTGACGTCGGCCAGCAGCCCTGCCCGCTCCAGCATGCGGGGGGCGAGGCTCACCACCCGCGGCATCACCAGCCACGCAAACTCCAGGGGGGAGGAGCACAGCCTGTTGAAAGCAGGTGAGGCAGGGGAGTCAGGTGGAGGTAGACGATATCACAGGTGCGCATGGGAGACAGGAGCAAGCTCCTGCTCTGCCTTCTATCTCTTTCAAAAACAAACGGACGCCCTCAATAACGAGACCAGGGTGATTCCACCCCTCACCGCCGGCACTGGGCCACGTGCGCCACGGCAGCATGCACGCTTTCCAGCCGGGTGTGCAGCAGGTACACCACCTGCCGTATCTCGCGGTCCTCCAGCTGGCTGGCCAGCGCCGACCCGTCGCCCAGCACCCCGAACCTGCGGGGTTGCTTGGGGCGTGAGTAGCTGAAACATCTGGGAAGGGAGATCCGTGTCTCAGGGGACACCTCAGAATGCACTCTCTCACAACCAGTCTTCCGCCAGGTCCTCTCACGACCAGCGCCATGGACCTGCAGGAAGGCCCTCCCCCCTGCACTGACACGCAGGCCCCCCACTCACAGCTCGACGCCATGCTCCCTCAGAGTGCTGGCCTCCACCAGGAGGCTCAGGGGGGCCGCAAAGTCGGCCTCCAGCACGAGCGCCTTGCGGCCACGGATCTGTGCGGTGCAATCAGGGAAGTGGGAATTGTGTGGGGGTGCTGGGAGGTGTTCAATGCGGCCAGGTTGAACCGAGTCCCTGGTGCCTCATGGGAAGATTCTACTGTGGGTGCCAGCCACCTCCCACCGTGTCAAGCAGGTCTAGGAGTGCCAAGCGATCGCCATCCCTGAGGAGTAGATTGGAGGGGCGTAGGGCTACAAGTTCAATGAGAGAGCATAAACAACCCCCCCTATATACGACACTACAGACCCCCCATCACGCACCGCAACTCGCGCAGTGACAGTGGACCCTTGTCTAGACTCGGAAGAGCCTTGCCGGCAGCCGATGTCATCCTGCCGGCGACGAATACCGGGAATTTGATCTACAGCCTAGGCAGATGCATTATCATGAGAACATCAGGGAGTTCAGATCAGGTGGTCCCCATACGCTACCGAGTGTTGGGTGCGAAGTGATCCCTCGCGGCAGACACCCGCACGAGACGTGAAACCGAGGGATCGATGTATTTAATACAGCATTATGTATTGTGCCTTGGGGTATTCGACAACTCACGATCAGATGGCAGATCTTCAAGTGCTCCTGCTCTCAACGTAGCTCGCGCCCGCGCCGATTGCTGCGAGTTGGTTTCTTGATGAGGCTTAGAGCGTAGGTTGTTGGCCGAGTCGTTTGGTACATCATACAGTAAGCCTCACTCTTCCCCTTCAGCAATAGATGTCATGGGTGATGTCCGAGGCCCTTGCATATCCATCTTCTAATGAAGGACAGCACAATTACATCCAGCAGCCCATGATTCAGACCTGCGCCTGAATTACCAGCGACCCTTCTGCTCTGTGCGTGAACATTGTGGTGCAGGGACAGAGCAACTCAGGTTGTATATCAGACAGGCTGTAGCCGAGCGGGAAGGGAGTGACCACCATGCAGGCGGGTCTCAGGGCCGCCCGGGCACCGTAGACAGTGCAGGAGCCTGCCCATCGCCCCCCCACCCCCCAGGTCGGTGAAGGGCCCGCCTCCATCACGATTGATCGTCTGGTCAAATGGGTTGGCAAGAAATGTGTATGGTGTGGTGCATGGCGGGGCCAGCTCGAAAAGCAGTGTCAAACAGGGGGCAGGCGCCACGCCGGCACTCCTCAGGGTCGGGGAAGGCACTGGGAGGCAGCATGCTCGCTGCCTCGCACCAGAACTGGCCTCGACGGCTCGAGAATCGATGCACAAAGATCAACGCGCTCGCTGTTTCCGTGGTGTGGATGGCAGCCAGGGCCGGCACTGGAACCTCGCCCCGTCATCGACTGTCAGCTGCTAGCCTCCCTGACTCCTCCTCTCCTCTCTCAACATGTTGGCGTCTTGCCCGCCGTCTTGGGCCTCTCACTTTGCTCCCCTGCTCACCACCTCGACCAGACTCAGGGGCCTCGTGCCGGGAGGAGCGGGGAGATGGGGGGCGGCGTCGGCGCCTCGCCCGTCAGGCCCACCGACGGCGGCCGGCTGGGACCGGCAAACAGCGCGATGGGGCTGGCGGCGTCGGAGGGCTGCAGCTTCACCTTCACGCCCTCCGACTCCCCCGTCGCCGGGCTGGGCGTGGAAGCCGCGCGCGCCCCCAACCCCGCCTGCTGGCCCAGGCTCCTCTTCCGCGGCGGCGACTCCTCGCCTGCAGGTGTGGGGTGCAGCGTGGAGGGTCGAGGAAGCCTTTGTATGAGTTATGCGTTGCGTATGGGGTGGGGTGTGGATCTCCATGGGCGGGCACAAGACCTACAAACTGCCCATCTGACACCAACACAGGTGCATGTGCCAAGCAGCAGCAGTCCCGTCTTCAGGGTGACGTACATGTGTGCAACCGGTCTCAGACTCCTTCCCCCCTCTTATCGCCCCCAAACATTCGAAATCAGCACAGGCATACTTGAGGCCTCCGGGATGGGGCTGCTGTCGCGCATGCGCTTGGCGGGCAGCCCGCCCGCGGCGAACTGCGCGCGCACCTCCGGCGGCGAGCCGGAGCCGTGGCCGCCGGCGCCCAGGCCGTGGATGGCGGGCATGGACGCCACCTTTTGCAGCGTGCGGTGCGATAGCGGCGGCCGGAACGCTGGGAAGGAGTAGGGTGGGGATCTTCGTGACAGGGACTGTGGTGCAAATGCAAGGCCCAGCACAGCATCGCACCGAGTTTCCGTTTCGCCTCCTGGCTCTCATCCTACAATGTCCCTGAATGCCCTTTGCGCGCCTGTGTGAGCACATGCCAGCCTTCCCCTAGCGCCTCCTCAGCGAGGACCCCCCCACAGTCCCACAAACCAACAACTCACCAGAGGCGTGCATGCCGCCGTAGGGGTTCAGGGGCGCGGTGCCAAACAGGGGCAGGTGCGGGGTGCTGCCGGTGAACCCGGCCCCGCCCGTGCCCGAGCCGTGGTGGTGCAGCATGCCGGGCGGGGGGGAGGGTTGCGCGGAGCCCACGCTGCCAGCGCGGAAGAGCGTGGGGTGCGGCCCGCCGCCGCCGCCCGCGCCGCCCAGTGAGCGGAGGCGCGCCTCCAGCCCCGCGCGCTCCGCGCCGACGCGGCGCAGCGCGGCCAGCGCCGCGTCCAGCTGCGCCTGCGTGGCCGCCAGCTCGGCCTCCGCAGAGATGAACTCCGGGGGGAAGGTTGCGGGGTCGATCAGCACGTCGTCGTCGACCGCGTCGGCGTCGTCCCCGTCGGCGCTGCCGGGCCGGTGGGTCGGCGCAGGCGCGTCGGTCGGCGCGGCGCCCGGAGGTTCCGAGCTCCGCGCCGGGCGCTCTACGGCCTCGCCTCGCGTCGTGCCCTCCGCGGCATCGCCCATCGTTTCCCTCGCCGGCCCACCACCAGCATTGCCGCTCAGCAGCTTGTGGCGCAGGCGCCGGATGATGGCCTGGGAGGCGCGGAGCTCGGCCTGCGCGGCGGCCGCGGCCGCCTCGGCGGCCGCAGCCACGTCGCGGGCCAGGCCCTCTCGCACGCGCAGCTCCTCGGCCAGGCCCTCCAGCGCGGCGCACTCGCCCTGCGCGCAGCGCAGCTCCTCGCCCAGCCGCCGCACCTCCGCGGGCGTGGCCAGCCGCGACAGGTTGGCCGCGGAGGCCGCCGCCCAGTGGCGCAGCAGGCCGCGGCGGAAGGAGGAGTGGTCGTCGCCGGGCGCGGCGCCGGGGCCGCCGCCGCCGCCGCCAGCCTCGCCGCCCTCGGTGTCGCCCTCGCCGCTGCGCACGCTATGCGCGCGCTCCGGCTCGCCGCCCCCGCCGCCCATGGCGTTGTACAGGGGCGGGAAGCCGCCCAGGAGCATGCTGTCGCCGCCCGCCCCCGTCTGCGCCAGCACCGGGTTCTCCACGATCATGCTGACCGAGTTGCGGCGGGGCATGCGACGCGAGGCTGCTGCCCCCGCGCCGCGCCGCGCGGCCTCATCGTCTGTGCCGCCAGCGGGGCCGCCGCCGCCGCGGAAGGCCTCGATCGCGTTGTGCAGAGAATCCACCTCGTTGAAGGATGCGTTCCACACGATGCGCGAGCGCTGGCGCATCGCGCCGCCGGGGCCCGC